TTAGAAACCTGGTCCCCAGTTCTGTGTTTTGGTAAGATTTTGTTTGCAGTAAGAAATGGGAGAAGTGGTGAGACAGCAATGTGCTTTGACAATTTGTGCTTGGCCCCAACAGCAGAGATGCATGCCCAGCTGCTTTTTGACCCCAAAGGAGTAATTACAGCAGTCAGAGTGCTGTGAGTCTCTAACCACATTCCTACAAACCTCCTATCTTTGGGCTATGAGGAGGAAGGACAATATTGATCATAGAATCATAGAAAATGAGGGTAGGAAGGGACCTCAGGAGATCATCTAGTCCAACCCCTTGCTCAAAGCAGGACCATCCCCAACTAGATCATTCCAGCCAGGGCTTTGTCTAGCTGGGTCTTAAAAACCCCCAAGGATGGAGCTTCTACCACCTCTCTGGGTAACATGTTTCAGTGTTTTATTATCCTCCTACTGAAAAAATTCTTCCTAATTTGGAAGATGGGCATGAAGGATAGGCCCTATGAGGGGAGACTCCGGGAACTGGGCCTGTTCAGTCTGAGTAAGAGAAGGCTGAGAGGTGACTTAATAGCTACCTATAAGTACATCAGGAGTGAACACCAAGACCTAAAGGAACAACTCTTCAGGAAGGCACTTCAAGGGAGGACAAGGACCAATGGGCATACGCTTATAGAGGGTAAATTCAGGCTAGATATAAGAGAGAATTTTTTCTCTGTAAGGGTTGCCAGAATCTGGAACACACTCCCAGCAGAGGTAGTGCAGTCACCCTCCTTGGAGGTATTCAAGATGAGGCTGGTCATGCACCTTGTTGAGCTCATCTGAGTCCAATAACTTCCTGCCCATGGAAGAGGACCGAACTTGATGATCTTCCTTCCCAGTCCCTTCCAGTCCTTCAATTTTATGATTCTATGATTCTAATATCTAACCTAAAATTCCCTTTCTGCAACTTGAGACCATTGCTTCTTGTTCTGTCATCTGCCACCACTGAGACCAGTGTAGCTCTATCCTCTTTCAAACCCCTCTTCAGGTAGTTGAAGGTTGCTATTAAATCCCCCCTCAGTCTTCTCTTCTCTAGACTAAATGGCCAGGGACATTCAGAAAGCTGGAGCCTGAATTGATTCAATATTTGCAGGTCAGTCTAACCTGCCTGGGTTGAACTGATTTGTAACAGCACAGACTTTCCCTCTGGACTGAGGAAATGCAGGTACATGCCTGCAGTTGCTCAGGCTAGGAGCTGGGGATTGCTAGAGCATACCCTTGGCTGCAGGGAAGCTGTCCTGGGAAGGCGTGGCAAGCCTGGACTGAACTGGCCAGAGAGGGGTTTAATTCTCCCCTCCCTGTCCCACTGGCAAGGACCCAAGCCCGATCCGGCACATGCTCCCCACTCACTGCTGTAGAGATGGGCTGGCATGGCCCCTGTGGCAGAGGGGGCAGGGAGAGGGGTTATTCCCCCCTCTGCCCCTGGGGCACCATAGTCGGGTCTGCCCGCCCTGGCCACCACTTGCTCTGTGCCCAGGGCAAGCAGCAGAATAAGCCCCCCCCGCCCCCCTCCCTCCGGCATCTGGCAGAGGGGGCGTATTACACGCTTGCCCTGGGTACAGAGCAAGTGGTGGTGGTGCCCAGGGCAGGCAGACCCTGCTGCGGTGCCCCGGGGCAGAGGGGAAATAATCTGCCCCACTCTTAAGGGACCCTGCCAGCCAGTGTCTGGCCCGCCCCCACCTGGCTGCTGGAATGACGAGGGGAAAGTAGCCATGACAGAGGCAGCAGCCCCTCTCATGGTTTCCCTGAGAGTGAAACTGTTCCCGGCAGGGGGCACACTGCAGGGCAAGCTGCTGCAGACCATGGCATTGGTGGCACGGGGGGTGGGGTGGGGCTCTGGCCCCCTTTGAGCCCCAGTGCTGCCACATGCAGTCCATTGCATCTCTGCCTCCCCTCATGGTCCCCAACACCAGCTGGCAGAGCCCCTTAGGCAGGGGGCAGGGACACGGTTTTATTCCCCCTTCCTTGAGTGTCAAGGAGAAGAGCCTTATTCTGCTGCTTGCCCTGAGCAGGGAGAGAGTGGCGGCAGCTGGGGTGAGCAGACCCCGCTGCAGTCCCCCAGGGGCAGTGGGGTTAGAGGGGATCAATCTGTTAAGTCTGCCCCCTCTGCCTCAGGGGCTATGACAGTCCACCACTGCAGCAGCAAGGGGGGAGTGCCTGGCAGCCCCAGGTGGCACAGGGAACAAGGAATTAAACTGGTTTATGTGCACTGAATGTCTGTTGTGTTACAGATTTAAACCAATTTCTGATCACTTAAACCAGTTTATGTGTAATGTCTGCCCCTAGCCCATAAGCCCAGTTCCCTCAGCCTCTCCTCATAAGTCAGGCACCCCAGCTCCCTAACAATTTTTGTTGCCCTCTGCTGGACTCTCTCCAATTTGTCCACATCCTTTCTGTATTGGGGGGCCCAAAACTGAACACAGTACTCCAGATGTAGCCTCACCAGTGCTGAATAGAGGGGAATAGTCACTTCCCTTGACCTACTGGCAACATACCAGCAATACAGCCCAGTATGCCATTAGCCATCTTGACAACAAGGGCACACTGCTGGCTCATATTCAGTTTATTGTCCACTGTAACTCCTAGGCTCTTTCTGCAGAGGTGCTGCCTGGTCAGCCAGCCCCCAGCCTGTACCAGTGCATGGGATTGTTCTGTTGTAAGTGCAGGACTTTGCACTTTGTCCTTGTTGAACCTCATGAGATTCCTTTTGACCCAATCCTCCAATTTGTGCAGGTCACTCTGAATCCTAGCCCTACCCTCCAGCATATCTGCTACTCCCCTCAGCTTGGTGTCATCTGCAAACTTCCTGAGGGTATGCTCTATGCCATCTTCCAGGTCGTTGATGAAGACCTTGAACAAAACCAGTCCCAGGACTGACCCCAAGGGCATTCCACTTGACACTGGCTGCCAACTAGACATCGAGTCATTGATTAGTACTCTCTGAGTTTGATTGATGCTCCAACCAGTTTCTATCCACCTTACAGTCCATTCATCTAGTCCATACTTCCTTAGCTTGCTTGTGAGAATGTTGTGGGAGATAATATCAAAAGCCTTGCTAAAATCAAGGTATATCACATTCACTGTTCTCCCTTTACCCACAAAGCTAGTCAACTTATCATAGAAGGCAACCAGGTTGGTTAGGTGTGACTTGTCCCTGGTGAATCCATGCTGACTTGCTAATCACCTTTTTCTCCTCCAAGTGCTTAGAAATAGATTCCTTGAGGATCTGTTCCATGATTTTTACAGGGACTCAGGAGAGGCTGACTGGTCTGTAGTTCCCTGGATCTTCCTTCTTCCCTTCCTTAAATATAGGCAGTATGTTTCCCTTTTCCAATCATCTGGGACCTCTCCTGATCACCATGAGTTTTCAAAGATGATGGCCAGTGGCTCTGCAATCACCTCAGGCAACTCCCTCAGCACCGTTGGTTACATCCCATCCAGCCCCTTGGATTTGTACATGTCTAGCTTTTCTAAGTAGTCCCTAACCAGTTCTTTCACCACTGAGGGCTGTTCTCCTCCTCCTCAAACTGTGCTGCCAGGTGCAGTAGTCTGGGAGCTGACCTTGTCTGTGAAGACTGAGGTGAAAAAGGCATTGAGTACTTCAGCCTTTTCTGCATCCTCTTTTATAAGGTTGCCTCCCCCATTCAGTAAGGAACCCACACTTTTCCTGATCTTCCTCTTACTACTGACATACTCATAGAAACCCTTATTGTTACCCTTCACATCCCTTGCTAGCTGCAACTCCAGTTGTGCTTTGGCCTTCCTGACTTCATCCCTTCATGCCTGAGCAATACTCTTATACTCCTCCCTAGTTGTTTGTCCAAGTTTCCACTTCTTATGTTCCCTTTTTGGTGATTTAGTTTACTGAAGAGTTCCCTGCTAAGCCAAGTTGGTTTTCTGCCATACTTGCTAGTCTAGATGTTTTTTCCTGCACTCTCAGTAAGGCTTCTTTAAAGTCCAGCCAGCTCTCCTGGACTCGTTTCCCCCTCAGGGGATCCTGCCCATGAGTTCCCTGAGCAAGTCAAAGTCTGCTTTTCTATAATCCAGGGTCCTTACTCTGCTGCTCTCCATCCTTCCTTTCCTCGGGTTTTTGAACTCAATCATCTCATGGTCACTGCTGCCCAGGTGGCCATCCACTGCTTCATTCCCCACCAAGTCATCCCTGTTTGTGAGCAGCAGGTCAAGAAGAGCATGGGCCCTAATTGGCTGCTCCAGCACTTGCACCAGGAAGTTGTCCCCAACATTTTCCAAAACTTTCTGGATTGCCTGTGCACTGCTGTATTGCCCTCCCAGCAAATATCAGGGTGAGTGAAGTCCTCCATGAGAACCAGAGCCTCTGATTGGGAAATTTCCATTAGCTGTTTGAAGAAAGCCCCATCCACTACTTCCTCCTGGTTTACCAGTCCTACCCCATGTGGGTAGTTCCCTTACACTTGGGAATCCCCAGGTGGCTAGATACAGTGGATGAGGGGTGTCACAGTAGCTTTATGGAGCCAGTGCAAGGGGGGCATATCATAGCAGAGACAAAGACCCTTCAGGTTGTTTAGGATCTGTTGTTTCTATCCAATTTGGGGCAGTTAGCAGGATTCAAGATTAGTTTCACAGGACCAAATTTCAATTGGAACATAATGCCTTTGAAATTAGACTGACCTGGTGCAGCCAACAGCCCTATCAATGTTAGTGACTTTTGCTATTCAGAAAAAGTGCAGTAGTTTTAATTCCTTGTAAGCTCATTGGTTTCAAATTATATTTGTGTGCAGGTGCTTAGTAGTACGTGTAAAGAAATAGTGAAGCAATATACAGATCACATACTTTTGCTAACTAATAGAATTCCTTTGGGGAGCAATGACAAACCCAGCACTTCTGTGAGACCACTTTAAGCCCTGTTGAAACATTATGAGCAAGCTTGTTATTGTAAGATTTTTTATTCTCATTTTCAGCTGCATGTTACTCTTTGGTTTCTCATTTCTAGGCATGGAAGCAATACCTTAGTTATCGTGGAAACAGTGCTGCTTTAAAATAATGACTGTTACTGGGGGAAAAAAACTGCATAACACTGCAATGGCTTCACTGCAGGACACCAGGTTGTAATCTATGGATTACAAAGCTTCAAGAGATTTAAGAAATGGAAGTGTTAATGGCAAGTGTTAGACAGAAAATGATTAAAGGGGGAGAGATGGACACCTATGGAAACCCTGCTTGGAAAAGCAAAACCTTTACTTAAGTGACAAACATCTGAAAGCATTTTAACGGACAAGTGCCTTACAAAACTGCGACCACCTGTGATACAGATTGTTGATTCATTACTTCAGAGGCATTTGGTAAGTGGTGTGGTTGGTCTGTCTCTGTGAGGATTGTGTGGCTAAGATCCATTGGTCTTTGACTAGCCCAATGTTTGAATTCCCTAAGAAGTTAACCATTAACTTGTTGGGGAAGGTTTAGAGCTGAGCAACAAGGCTTAGTATATACCAGTTGCCAGGCAAACTCTTAGGCAAGCCAAAAGGAAACCAAAGAGCATTTGGAGTGAATGAGGTGCCTTCTGTTTTAGTATGACTCTTCTCTAGGTGTAGGTATGGACAACAAGGGGGAAAAAACTGCTATGACCTGTTTTGGGTGTGCTTTGTTTTCCTCTTTGCTGGAAGGTGTAAGAGATTTCTGATTTATGTAGTACAACCTGGTGCCCATCCTGGATGAGAAGATAAAAGGCCTAGAAGGGAAAATTGCAAGCAAAATCTTGTTGAACCACCACATTCAAAAACCCTTGCTAAAGATGCTATAAGGAGAAGGATTAGTAATAATGGAAGTGAAAAGAGCAGAAACTGAAGGAGCAGATAGACAATTTGTAACCAAGGGGAGAAAGAGACCAGAAACTCTCAACTCAGAAGCATTGGATCTCAGTAAGTTAACCCCCATGAAATGGATCTCTAAAGAAATGGAACCAAAATCTCGAGGGGACACATATGATGGGCTTCTTTGCTGTGTGAAGCATGCATTTATCAAGGATGTCTCTTTAACTATCCTACAATATAAATAACCATTAGGAACCACTCTGTATCCTGAAGGGTAGACAAAGAATTCAGTAAGGGACATGAAGACAGTAAGATAGTGCACTCTCCCCCAAGACCAAAAATACAAAATGTAAGTACAAGATTGTGTAAGATTACAAAGACTTCTGGCAAATCTCTGTGCATAAAAATATATATTGTAACCAATGACTTACCTCTTATGGAACCATACATTTTATAGAAGACTTTGGCAATCTTGGAAAAGTGAAAGTGTTATTTTGAGAGTTTTTTCTGGTCCTGCTGTAGTGAATCATTTGCTAAATGACTTGTGGATGACTGGGCCGCATTCTAATTGAGGAGAATATTGTGGAAATGGGACAGTTTGCCACTCGTACAGAGGTGGTAGGGTAAAAGCCAATCTTGTCAGTCAGAGGCTAGGTGGAGCAGACAGGAAGCTGTTAAATTAAACAAAGGGAGGGAGGGGGTGAAAAGAAGGCAACTGTGATCCAGCATGTTTTGAACATAATGAAACAATTTGATAAGCATGAAGCAAAGAGAATTTTCAATCGCATATATCAATTCTAGGAGTCTGAGTAACAAGGAAGAGAAATTAGAGATTCTCATCGAAGAAAATAAATTTGATATAATTGGCATTGCTAAAACCCAGTGGGCTGATTTACATAATTGCAATAAAATCATTGGCTGCAATAAAATCTAATCTTTGAAGAAGTATAAAATGGGTAGAAGGAGATCTGGCAGTCAACATTAAAAACATCAGTTCCGCTTTCAGAGTTACTGGTAACTCAAAATCACAGAATATTGAATGCATATAGACCAATATGCTAACTACTGGAGACAACACAGAAGTATTAATTAGAAATCTGTTAAAGAAACTAAAGAACAGGATGAGTTACTTCTCATGTACCTGCTTGTATGTGTGAAGAGGAAAATCATACTGTTGTGGAGGACTTCACCTTGGGAGACTATATACTGAAAGTGTCATGCAGCTAGTTGTAAAACATCATTAGAGTTTCTGTAAATTATAGGTGATAATGTTCTAACAAAAATGGTTTCACAGACAACTTAAGGTACCTCACTTTTACTTCATTATGACAGTTGAAAATTAATCACTGGACTGGAAGTTCATGGTTTTGCAGGGACCAGTGATCATGACTTGCCTACTTTCAATTAGAATGAATACAAGACAGTCCCAACCAGTACTATATATACGCTTGGTGTTTCAAAAGGGGTAATTTTCCAAAACTAAGAACATAAAAATTGCCGTTTACTAGGTCAAACATAGGTTTATCTTGCCAAGTATCCTGTATCACACATTGGCAGGGAGTGGGTGCTGAAAGGAAGAGTGAGCATGGTATGACCAGGGGTGTAGGTTGTAGCCGTGTTGGTCTAAGGACATAGGCAGACAAGGTTCCAACTATTTGGGTTGGTCTAATAAAAGATATCAGATTCACCCAAGGAACCTTGTCTGCCATGGTATGACCAGGATTTTTCCACTGCCCCTCTTCCATTTACAGCCTCTAGCATTTAAGGCTAAAGAAATTATTGAGTTAAGGTGATGAGAGAGAAAAAACATGAATGAAAATTGTAAGTTCTTTAAGAAGAGATTTTGGATGAACAAGAAGCCATGATTCTCCAATCAAAGATGACAGCTTAGACTATAAGTTCATCTTAGTTCACTGACAAAGTGAAGACAGCAATTAGAAATTAGAAAAAGCAATATGGAACAAATGGAAAAAAGAGAGGTATGGGTGGCAATCAATAGAAATTAGAAGCTTTGAAGAAAATTGAGGGAAAATGTGGAGAGAGACATCAGAGAAAACATTATGGCTGGCAGGTCTGAGAAGGATAAAAATATTTTAAAGTATATTAGGAATAAAAGAAATCCCAGCCATATTATAGGCATATTGTTAGATGACATTAATAATATTGCTAATAATTCAGAAAATCCAAAATGTTTAACAAATATTCCTGTGCTATAGGATGAAAAACTTGGGAGGACATACATATCACACATGTGGATTAAATAATGTTGCAGTGATGCTGTAGCCACAATGGTTCAGGAAACATGCAAGAGGAAAGGATTTTTATGGATGATATCTTTTATTGGACCAACTGCATGCTTGGGATAGACTTAGATAAGCTTTTGGGTATGACAATACCCTTGCTCGGGTCCCTGAAAAAGAAGCATTAAGGTTTAGGTATTTTTCAAAATATTGTTAGACAATATGGATTAGAAATAAATACTTTAAAATAGGCAGACCTGGATAACATGTACTCAAGAGTCTGAAGCTAGCTAGTTGTGGGGCATGCTGTCTCACTGGTGATATTTTTAATATGTTTTGGAATAACAGGGAACTTCTAGAACACTAAAAGACAGCTAATATTCTGTCACTATTTAAAGAGATGCTGACATCAATCAGTGTCAAGTTAACCTAACATCATGGGTAAAATAATAGAAAAGCTGATATGGGATTTCATTGATCAAGAATTAAAGGACAAGAATGTAATTAATTCCAGTCAACATGTTTTTGTGAAAAATCAGTTTTTATCAAACAAATATGATTTTATTCTTTGATGAGATTATACATTTAAATAAGTAGGTAAACACAAGTCACCAGTACAATGCTGTGGCATAAAGGTCTAATGTGATTCAGGTGTA